ACCGGTTAACCCGGGTTACAAGTCCTGGGAACTGGGAGGAGTTTCGCTCTCTGACACTATGGACCCGGCAGCCGCGTGGTGAATATATAGAATGCTAAGAATTATGCCATTTTATTTATTTATTTATTAATACTATACATATAATACACAAATACAATAATAAAGGTACAGATGGTAGACTTAACACCATAACGCATTTTCTCCCAGTCCACCATAGGGCAAACAGAGATTAGTGGGCGGTGCATTTAAGTATATAACATGAAATATAATAAATTAAATAGTTATATCAAAATATATATATACATAAATATAATATACAATATATAAAAACACATGTACATATATTTCTACACAAATACATATATACTAAGTACAAATCAACAAAGAATAGTGCAGACTCCCGCTTTCGGGAGATAATTTTGACGATTTTCAATAAATTAATGTTATATTTTTAATTACCTACCTTTTTTTGTTATGCCTTGGCGTTCCTGAGGACTAAGGTATTATGCCTGGGACCTGCATTCCTGATCATTTCATTTGAAGATTTCTCTTCCATGCGTACATATATTTGTATTTTCCACTTCAATTATAATTCCTAAGTATATACCGGTAGAATAAAATTTCCGTATAGACTTTGAAAAGGGTCATTGTAGGGTCACTGAAATTGTGAAATCAGCGTGGATTTATGACTTTTTTATAAATTACACTTGGCCGTCTAGGGACTTCTCGAAAAGGGTTTAGAATTTGATCGTGTAGATAAAGCATTGATACTAATGCTCTTGGCAATAAGAGGTACGTTCTTTTATATTGTTTCAGACTTATCTTTAATATTTTAATGAGACGAGCGTCCCGTTCCGCACGAGTGTAATTAATGTCGAAATCCTTATTCTTTAAAAAAAACTGTTTATATTAATAATGGATAATTTATTTATTTATTTATTCATTAAATTGGATATCCATCCATATTATGTTAGTAAAGAACTTAGAAATTGTGTTAGTAAATTGCAATTTTTAGAGGTACATCTCGCCTAATTTACATAATATCTTTTTAAATTATAGCCTATGTGTTACTCTGCTGTTACAGCTGGATTACTGTAACGTTTCATCAAAATTAGTTCAGTAGTTTTTGCGTGAAAGAGTAACAAACAACCATCCATACCTACAAATTTTCGCGTTTAAAATATTAGTAAGATGGTGTTTAGGAGGCTGTTTGTGCTGCACGGTAATGTAGCTATCTGTAAGTTATACGTATTTATAAGATTTATTTTTATTCCAATATATATATATATATAATACAAAATAATGCATTTTAACAGTTATTATTTTATTGACGGCGTCGATGGTCTAGCGGTTTTGTCAACCTTTACTTTACACACGTTGGTCACTGATTCGATTCTAGATCTCTGTTGATGCTCTTTACTTGCATGTTTTGCAATTATATATATAAGATTTTATTTCTAGATGTATTACCAACTATCAACTTATAATTTTACTGAAATTATAAACACGATAGTTTCTGAGTATGGATGGACAGATGGATGTTTGTTACTCTTTCATGCAAAAACTACTAAAAGGATTTTAATTAAACTTTACAATAATATAGCCTATACATCAGAATAACACAAAGGCTATGAATTTCTTGGGGGTAAAACCGCGGGAATGACTAGTAATTAGGATAACAATATAATCCGGGAAAGTAAACCACAATCCTATAAGTTAATGATTTGGGACTTAACTAGAAATAGCAGCATAAAATCAGATAGGTAAGTTTTTTAAATCAGTAGTAGAAATAGCATCATATTACTTTTAATTAAACTATATAATAATAATAATAATATTTCAGGACAATTCACACAGCGCCATCTAGTCCCAAGGTAAGCAGAGCTTGTGTTGTAGGTACTAGACAACTGATATAAATACATGGATACATTTTTTTTTTGTAAATAAATACATATTATACATAGAAAACACCCAGACCGATACAAACAATCATACCGTGCGAGGAATCGAACCCACGACCATCGGATAGTAAAGTGGTGTGCTAAACGACTAGATCACCGAGGCTGTCAATATATCTATATAGAAATATGCTTTAAAATAATATTTTAAAGTCACTTCTATTATATTCATAATATTGCAAGAATATTATTCACTGCATAAATAAGTAAAAATAATATTCTGTTAAACGTGAGTTATTCAATATATAGCTAAAGAACCGTTTAGCTGACATCCTTAAAATCAGTCAAAATATCTATTTATATAGTTTTTTTTTAAACATTAATTATTAATTATCTTTGACGATTTTTTAGACATCTTTAATTTACATTTACAAAGTACAGAGAAATCACGTCTCCAAAACATTATTACTCCACTTTTCTTGTAATTTTTATTGCGCTCGCAAAAAAAATGTTTCATTTTATTTCGAAGTGAAGGAATACAAAATATATGTAAAAAGGTACAGTTGATGAAGATTGATTAAGGTACTATGTCCAACAATTGAAATGGATTACCTTGTGATGTAAGTATAATAATTCAAAATAGATCATCCTAAACTTATCAACTCTCCCTTGAAATAATTCTTAATCTTAATTATTACATAGTATAAAATAAAGTCGCTGTCGCTGTCTGTCCGGCCCTATGAATGCTTAAATCTTTAAAACTACGCAACGGATTTTGAAGCGGTTTTTTAAATACATAGAGTGATTCAAGAAGGTTTATATATATAATACATGTACACCCGTGCGAAGCCGGGGCGAGTAGCTAGTAATATTATAAACGCGAAAGTTTGTGAGTATGGATGGATGTTTGTTACTCTTTCACGCAAAAACTGCTGAACCGATTTTGATAAAACTTTACAGTAACATAGCTTATCCATCAGAAAAACATATAGACTAAAATTTAAAATAGATATAACGTAAATTCAGTAAGTGTGATGCAGAACAACTTCGGCGGGTCAGATCGTTGTAAAATAATATCGCAAAGTATTTAAAATTAGGTATATCGACTCCAGAAACAGAAATTACTGTATGGGACAAGACACGGTTTTCCAATAGATCCAAATAACTATTTAATTAAAAGAAAATATCTGTAACTTTTTATCCTGTGTAGTTTTAGATATATTATACCTAACATAGTAATGTAATTGTACAATTTAGTCTTTTATTTTATAAAATATAATAATTTTATTAACATGTAATTTGAAATTATATATATATATATTATATATTAAAATAAATATGAAATTTAATTCAGAAATATAATTTGGTTACAGAATCATAATAGCAATAGTCAATTTCATTTCGCTCATGGATAGAAACGAAAACATATTAATATAATTATACATTTTCTATTTCATTTAGTAATGTAAGAAATAAATTCTGTAATAAAAATATATGTTGTATTTCTTAGAATCTCATTTTTAATTATAATTACGAAATTGATTCTAACAAAAGAAATATAGTCTATTTTTTAACTAATAAATAGTGTTCTTAATTCAAAATTTAGAATCTATTTCTTGATAAGAAATAGATTCTAAATTTTGAGAATTTTAGAATTAGAATTTTAAGAAACTCGCTACTATTCTCCGCCTTCCCATTACCAAAATTATTCTATTTAAAAAACAGAAGAAATATATTTTGTTTTTTAATTACGAAATAGTGTTCTAAATTCAAAACTTAGAATCGGTTTCTTATATTACTCAGTAAGAAACTCGTTCACCTAAGTCTCTACGCCTCTCTGCCTTCCCATTTTTTTAATATAATTAGGAAATTGATTCTATTTATTAAAAGATGTATAATATGTATTTTATGACGAAATAGTATTCTAAATTCAAAATTTAGCATCCGTTTCGTATATTACTCAGTAAGAAACTCGTCCATCTAACTCTCTACTTCACTCCGCCTTCACATTTTTTATTATAATTAGGACATTGATTATATTTATAACAAAAGAAATACCTATAATGTATTTTTTAAATATCATTATTTTTAAATTACGAACTAGTGTTTTAAATTCAAAATTTAGAACCCTTTTCTTATATTACTTAATAAGAACGTCACTCACCTAACTTGCTGCCCTCTCTGCCTTCCTATTTTTTATTCTAATTAGTAAATTCATTCTGTATCTAACGGAAGAAAAATAATTTATTTTTTAATTATTTTTAAATTACAAACTAGTATTCTAAATTCAAAATTTAGAATCCTTTTCTTTTATTACCTGAATCACGCTCACCTAAGTCTCTACTTCACCCCGCCTTCCCATTTTTTATTATAATTAGTAAATTGATTGTATATCTAAAGAAAGTAATCTATTTTTTAATTATCATTATTTTTAAATTACGAACTAATATTCTAAATTCAAAATTTATAATCCGTTTTCTTATATTACTCAGTAAGAAACTCGCTCACCTAACTCTACTTCACTCCGCCTTCCCATTTTTTATTATAATTAGGAAATTGATTCTATATCTAACAGAATAATTATAATTTATTTTTAAATTAAGAACTAGTATTCTAAATTCAAAATTTAGAATCCGTTTTCTTATATTACTCAGTAAGAAACTTGCTCACCTAACTCTACTTCACTCCGCCTTCCCATTTTTTTTTATAATTAGGAAATTGATTCAATATCTAACAGAATAATTATAATTTATTTTTAAATTAAGGACTAGTATTCTAAATTCAAAATTTAGAATCCGTTTTCTTATATAGAATCTCGCTCACCTAACTCTACTTCACTCCGCCTTCCCATTTTTTTTATAATTAGGAAATTCAAATTCAAATTCAAATTCAAAAATCATTTATTCATGTAGGACATTTTAGCCGCTTATGAACGTCAAATTTTTACATTATAATTTTATTTTTTTCCCTACCGTCCAGTTCGGTATATAGATCCAACTGATTCTATATCTAACAGAATAATTATAATTTATTTTTAAATTAAGAACTAGTATTCTAAATTCAAAATTTAGAATCCGTTTTCTTATATAGAATCTCGCTCACCTAACTCGCTACTCCTCTCAGCCTCTATAACTTGCGCGACCAACTCGCGCGTCCGCGCGTGCAGCCGCGTCAGATGCACGCGAGATCGCCCGTGCCTTATCAGGGCCCGGCCACCATGTCTAACATGTTTCACAAAATCACTCCTATATTCACATTGCACTAAAGTCGCGATGTATAATATTAGTAACATAGGCCGCAACATCACGGCATGGCCGCGTGCGTACGCCGCGAGCTCTCGGCTGTGACTGAACGGAGCGCGTGATTTTTCAGGAATCAATTTGAATTGATTTCAGCTTTATTATTTAATAAGTTTATATTGTTTAGAATTTGTATTTATATGTTATTTTATTTGTTTTGTATTTATAATACAAAATAGTGCTTAAATTAACTATTATAGAATGTGAATGATTGTAAACGCTACGCGTGATAACACTCAAGTAAAGTTCGGATATGTAAGTCTTTCTTATATATAAAAATAAATTGACGATTGTTAGTCTCGCTATAACTCGAGAACGGCTGAACCGATTTGGCTAATTTTGGTTTTGATATTTTTGTAGAGATATAAAGAACGTTTATGTGGTGAGAAAATATTAAGATATTGTATGGGAAATAGTAGCCATTACAAGTTTACAGGTTTGTTTAAATATTTATTGCGTAACTAAACTTCAAAAAACCTTTGACATATTATTTAATTTTGAGGCGGAAAGGAGTTTGCGGGGCCAGTTAGTACTGAATAAATGTTTTATGTAAACATTTCATGTAAATAGGCATAAACTCAGTGGACTGTACAAAACTCAGCTTGCAGACAGCATGAAGTTTTAAAATTTAGAATAGTAACAAAATTATTTTTGCTATTCTAAATTTAAAACCTCTTTTTTTTTCATTTGATTAGAACAAATGCAATATAATATTTCTCATATAAATGCTGCTAAGTATACATGCCTTAATAATTTTTGTTTTGATTTACATTTTAACTTTTTACCCGTAATAATCGTCCATTACTATTTCTATAATGTATGATACTGGTATGGTATACCCATCTGTGCTAACAGTTTAGACTGGCGAGGCACCAGTAGAGGATTATAAGATAAGTAAGAGGTCAGTTAGCCCATGGCGAAGCACATTAGCATACCTCTTTACTTCCGATGGTTGCGGGTTCCATTCCTTGCATGGTACAAATATTGTATTCATTAGTATGATTATTTGTCTGGCTTTGTCTGGGTGTTTTATAAGTATATTATATTAATTTAAAAAAATCTATCTATATTTATATCAGTTGTCTAGCCCCATAACATAATTTCTGTTTATCTTTGGACTAGATAGCGCTTTACGATTCGTCCTGAAATATTATTCTTATTATATGATATTTCAATATACTGTTAGAAAAACACATTTCGTAATATATAAAGTTAATTTAGACATAACGTTTCTGAATTAATGAGAAAAATAAATAGATATAACCCATCAGATACCGATCCTTCATTAACGTCGGACCTGTAATGCGCATACTCTTTATAGCATCGGATTACCATTGCCACGTAGTGGCATAAAATTTTATTACCTCAAAATTGAGCGCGTTAGATTGCCAACGCATAACTGTTCATAATGATAATGCAGATGCTAAAAGCGTGTCCTGCAAAGCGTACGTCCCACTACACATCTTATGTGGCTGTAGCCCACTCACGCATATACGAAATATCTCCTTTGAAAAGTACACTAAAACCATCATAGGTTCTTTTTTTTTTATTACTCTAATGCTGTTGGCCGCAGCTGGCCTTTACAGCTTCACCGGACCTTATGGGGCGAGTGCAGATGGCTCTCCAAACCCGCGGAAGGACTTATGGACCAGCTGAAGGTCAGCTCCCGCCTGACTGATACGACTTTAGTCTGAGGGCACTACTAGGGGCTCGAACCTCGGATCAGGCCGTCGTAATTTCGATCTCCGTTTGAATTGGATGGGGAATCGATCGGAGGGACGCCCGGGAGCGCCGGTGTGGAGTTCCTGGGCGCGCGCAGGCGCCCGGTTGATTGCGCGATATGGTGTGTTGGGGATCGTCGTCTTCGCCGGCGAGGACGGTGTCGTGTGTGTGTAAGTGTGGTCTGGGTGTAACGGGTGGGCCCGTGGGGAGGTTTACTATATTTATTTATTACGGACGGACCGTCCGGTAAGGAAAAATAATAAAAGAAAAAAATTTTACGTACATAAGCGGATAAAATATCCTATATGATTAAATAACTTTTGACTTGGTTTGATTAAAACATTAATGCATATAAATAAAGATGTATTTAGCGGACAAGACAACTAACACCATATGGAATTTTTTCCCTATTCAACCATAGGACAAACATAGATTAGTGGGTGCATTTAAGTAAATAATAATAATAATAAGTATTTAAGTAAATAACATGAAATAAAAATATAAATAGACATAGAAATTGGCAAACGTATTTAAAAAACAAAAAGAAATACCCAGTAATGTAAAAAAAATAAAAAATATAAGTACCCTAAGTTAATCCTTATAACATTAGCTGTCTGCGAGTGAAAGTTCCATCAAAATCTAGTTACTTCAGAAATTTCGAATAATATTGTTTTTTTTGTGTATATATAATTTAATACCATATATTTGTATCAACCTATCTTATTAAAACATTAAATAATAATAATCTCAGGACAATTCACACAGCGCCACCTAGTCCCAAGTAATCTAGCTAAAGCTTGTGTTATGGGTACTAGAAATATATCTATGTATTAGTTATCTAGTACCCATAACACAAGCTCTAGCTAGCTTAACTTGGGTCTAGATGGCTCTGTGTGAATTGTCCTGAGATTATTATTATTATTATTCAAGAGGAAGGTTTATATGTATAATACATGTACAACCGTGCGAAGCAGGGGCGATTAGCTAGTAGTTTATAAAAATATGATTGACAATATTTGTTCAACAGATTTTGCAACAATATCACATATATTGAATCTCATCTCACAAAAGCATTTTGCAGTAGCACCGTGTAGCCTAGAGCTACGATGCGCAGCTACGAAAAACGCTACGTCGTAGCACCGGAGATACGGTTGCTAAAGTGCTACGTCCGCGACTCCAGTCAGTTGCTACTTAGTGAATAACTTTAGTAAATGGGTTGGATTAAAATAATTTTATACTAAACGATACAGCATTAAGTCGAGTGTTTTAATCATTTAGTAAATGAAAATAAACGTTTATTTGCGGAACGTGGTGTACATAATGTTTATGGAAATGGTACATATAGTTCTACACTAGCTGAACGGCGCAACTTCGTCATCACACTTACTCAATTTAGATGATGTCTTTTTAAATTATAGCCTATGTGTTAGTTTGATGTATAAACTATATTATTGTAAAGTTTTATCAAATTACGTTCAGTGATTTTTTGACGTGAAAGAGTAACAAACAGCCAGTTCTTCTCAATTGGACTTATATACCGAACTGTAGGTAGGGAAAATAATTTATATTACAATGTCAAAAACTTGACGTTCATAAGCGGCTAAAATGTCTTAAATTAATAAATGATTTTTGAATTATGAATTTGAAGTTGAACATACATCCATACTCACAAACTTTCACATTTAAATATTAATATTTTCACGACCTCGGTGGTCTAGCGGTCTAGCACAACGCTTTACGTCCGATGGTCGCGGGTTCGATTCCTCGCACGACACAAACATTTGTATTCATGAATATGTTTGTTTGTATCGGTCTGGGTATTTTCGATGTATAATTATTATTTGTATTATTTGAATCAGTTATCTAGTACCCATAACACAAGCTTTAGGTAGATTAACTTGAGTCTAGATAACGCTATGTGAATTGTCCTGAGATTATTATTATTATTATTATTAATATAAGATTAAGATATTCCATCTTATGTGTAGACATACAAATTTTATTTCAATCATTATGCTTCTGTAAATGTTTATGTAGTATAAAGTCGCTGTCGCTGTCATTTTGGTTATATCTTTTAAATTACCCAACGAATTTTAATGCAGTTTTCAGCAATAGGTAGAGCGATTCAAGAGAAAGGTTTATATGTATAATACATGCTTCTTATAGCATATAACAAGCTGATAAATTTAAAGATTTATAATGTACTAGCTGTTCCAAATTACATTCCAAATGAATTTAACAAAAACGTTAATTAGAGAATTTCTCTAAAATAAAGTAGTCTAAGTTACTCCTTATTACATAAGCTACCTGCCAATAAGAGTCCCGTCAATATCGGTCCAACCATTTCAGAGATTAGCCGGAACAAATAGACAAACAGATAGACAGACATAAAGGGCCGTATTTATATTCATATGCATGTAGTAAAAAAGGGTTAATTCAATATTACAAACAGATACTCCAATTTTATTTATATGTATAGATTAGTGCGAAGTCCTATAGCTATCATGTTATCATATGATACCTGTGATATCATACCATTTATACCATTTATTTAATATGTTATGTATGTTATATGGTTATTTCATAGATATTTTCAATTTTACAACCAAAACACAGTTCACAAAGCAAGATCCATAGCGACTGAAATAAATGAGTCTGAGGTACCCATCGAGATGATATTCAACCTAAATAATTAGGTAAAAGAGTTTAAATTTGAATAAAGATTATTTCTATTTCTATTCTATTTTACAGTCGTTAGTTATAAGCGAATTAATTTAGCAAATTGATGAGATTAAAGTGGACTTATTGGCTGAGCGCAAGTGAAGTTTCATAATCGAGCATTCCCAGGTCGATGCAGACAATGGACAAACCCACACGATGGAAAGCTGAAACTTTCAACGATAATAAAATATATATTAGTTGTGATACTAAAAATTATTTATACAAGGTGTATCTCAGTTGACAAAAAAATCTGTGCAAAATAAAATAGTTCGTTGAAATAGCTATATAAATTATATGCAGGACTTAGTGGTTAGCGGTTTAGCACATCGCCTTACATACGATGGTCGCGGATTCGATACCTCGCACGATACATATGTCATGGGTATGATTGTTTGTATCGGTCTGTGTGTTTTCTATGTATGTTATGTATTAAGATATATATTGCAGAATTGGTGGTTAGCAGTTTAGCACACCGCCCTTATCTACGATGGTCGCGAGTTCGATTCCTCGCACGGTACAAATATTTCTATTCATGAGTATGGTTGTTTGTATCGGTCTGTGT